TGCAAGCTGTTAATTTCACAGCCTCTGATCCACCTCCATGCATTCAAAGATGCCTTTTGATGCCTTTACCTGACCACAAACAGTTTTCCACTTTTCGTTAGTCCATTTGATGAAATATTCGCAGTCGCACAACTTTACATTAAGGAACATTATTCTGAAATTCCTCCACAATTTGTAGATTATGTTTTTGTTTTGTTTTTTTCAGACTGGTGAACCTCAGCCTCTCTTTTTATGCCCAATCATGTTACACACCTGCTCCCAACTAAACTGATTGTAAACTGTTCCTCCAGATGTTTCTTTTCAGTACCACTTACTTCTCCATCCATTTGTTGCACGCATTCCAAATTTTTTCAGATGTGCTGCTGCCATCAAATTCAAAATGAGCTAATATTTTTCATAAAAATCACTTTAAATGCTTGAGCTATGTTTTTTTTTTATGTTCTGTTAAGAATAAAAACCTTGTGGATATTTCAGTCAATGACATACTTAAGTTCTTTGGCCTGAGCCTCCAGCTCCGCTTCAAGCTGACGAATCTGTTCACTCATGACCACCACATTGTTGTGAACCCCAGCCCTAGGGCCCCTGAGGTAGACCTGCAAAAGAACACAGATAACCCATGTGTACACTTTCTGCTAGTTATTACGGGAGACTTGTCATATCATATTTGACATTTCAAGGAAAAAAACACTGAAATCTAACACTAATTTAACACTGTGGCTTGGTCAAATGGAGGTGTTTGGCACGGTTGTAGAGGGATCTGCAGCAGACTAGCCCACAGTCTTTAAAGATTTAACAAGCTCCACTTAAAAATAATAATAAAATTAAAAATCACATGTGTAATATCATACCTGAGATTTGGAGGTAGCCATTTCATACTGCATTGCATCCAGGTCACTGATGAGCTGCTCATCCTGCAGAGTCAGACAGGCGTTTTCCTGCCGCACACAGCCAATCTTCTTCCTCGAAGCAGAAATGGACTCCATCTCTACAGAACAAGTGTTGAATGATGATGACAAACAAAGGCATGACACAGGAGTGGATGAGAAACGTTTATTTTTTTTACCCTAGAGCTGCTATGTAACACTAGATCTGCTCATTTTTTGAACAATTTACTCAGTTTTATGTGTATAGAAAATATAGACCACTAACCAGCCCACACCTGGGTAGTCACCCTTTATGCAAACAAAACTAGCCCACCAAAATAGTTTCTCTCATTTGAGGGAACAATTACCGAATTCATGGACGTGCATACCTTTATACAGCATGTAACATAGTCCGATGTGACAGATAATGTGTAAATGATATTCAAACACTTTTTTTCTTAGTGTTTCACTCAGAAGTAACTCCATTGCCCTTTACCTTTGACTTGGAGGAGGTTGGACCTACCAGCAACAATCCGTCTCTCAGCCGTCCCACAAGATATTATAACATCAGGCAGTCAGGACTGAACCTGTTCATCACCACGGCCATCTGACTGACTGCAGACCAGCGAGAGGAAACCAAGAGAAGAGGGTGGACGGCTCGAAAACAGAATCATACTACATATTTGCAGGTTTCTGTTACAAAAAACACCAGCTACAGTTTGGGTCTCTGTGATTACTCACCTCAGCTTCTGTGTAGGCTGAGCTCCCTCAAACCGATTAGCTCTTTGATGTCAAACATCAGACTATTACCGGGTGCATATTTAGCTTTCCGGCGCTGAAGCAACATTTACCGCTTGTGTGAACGGTTGAAAAGCTCCAGAAGACCTTTAACTTCATCAGCATGTGGCTATGTTTTAAGTATCCGAGGCTACACCAGAACAACTACGCTCGCTAAATGTAAACAGTGTTGCTCGATGGATCAACAGGTGGCTAACTCCTCAACCTCATCACTGTTTTCACAGCAAAAAGCCACCAAACGACCCACAGGCAGCATTAACCTTTCAACTAAAAATTTACTTTTTATTGTTCTTACGCTATAAAAGCATATCATACGCATTTATCGTTTCTACTGTGACAAATCTTTACATGTTACCCTATGCAGTTGCAATGAAGGAGAAGGTATCCAAAACAGTTTGTAATTCCTAGTCTCCGCCTACAACTAACAACCAACCTTGCTATTGGGTAATACTGAGTTGCCTGTGAATTGATTGGTGAAGAGGGATAGCCGCGAACAACGGCGCGTGTGGTGTGCCAAAAAGTGATTGCCTGCCAAAAACTGATTTCCAATGTTTCTGTGTATTTTTTCTGTGTAATATCTTTACGTATGTTCGTAAATAGACTTCGGTGAACAGGGTTTACAAAGGGGTTATATATAGAATTAGTTGAATATAGTTGTATCTTTACAATTCTGTGTATTGTACTTACATTATAACCAATCCT